GAAGGCTTATGCTGATTTGCCATGTAGTGATGGCCATGTGAGCCAAGGGACACAAAGAAACCAGGGAGGCCCTTAGACAGGACCTGAGGGTCTAATGACCAGGAGTGAGACCAGGGACAAGGACTGGAGCCTGAGCACAGGCCCTGTGGGCACCTGCCCTGAACGGGCCCCGCACAGCTATCTGGAGCACACACACAGGTGCACCCTCCATGCTGAGCCCCCAGAGGTCCTGGGGCTCTCTGACCCTGCCCCCAAGGGATGGTGGGGACAGAGTCGGGCCTGGGTAGGCGAGGACTGAAGTGGTTTATCAACAGCAGGCCCTTTGCAAGGCCCTGGCGTGGCTGAGGGCAGGCGTGGCCTCTCTCTACTTGGAGTCCTTCAGTTAAGATGCTTCTGATAACTTCCTGGAGGCCACCATGCAAGGCGGCATTCTGACCAGATTCACAGCTAGAACACTGGGAGCTTTGCCCACCAGCCATATTAACCCTGGGGGTGGTGGGGCTGGCTTGTGCTCCCCGACATCCCACTTGAAAGGAGCCCTCCTGCCCCGCTCTCTGTCTGCCCCCAGCAGGCCATAGGTGTGGTGCGGCTGGCCACAGAGTGCTGTCTCCCACTTGGGGCTTTTAGGGCAGAGACAAGGAAGCCGAGGCTCAGACGGACTAAAGAGCGTAGCCAGGGCTCCCCAGCTAGGAAGGGGCTGGATTAGAAATTGTGTGGAGGTTTGTCTGCTACGGCTACCACCCCCTGCCTTTGTTGGCAGGGGCATTTGGAAGAGTCTAACATCAGATGATGGAGTTCACATCCAGGCAGCCTTGCTGCTTTTCAGTCTCTCTGTGTGACTTAGGGCAAGTGACTTCACCTCTCTGTGCCCCAGGTTCCTCATCTATGAAAGAGGGAGGATAGCACTGTCTACCTCATAAGATTGCTATGAGGATTAAATGCGACAATACAGTACATGGAAGCTTCCAGCAGTTTCTGGCATGTAGCTTGCACTATGTGTTGGTTATTATTATCATCATCATCATCTGTAACCTCCTGGGTCTCCTGGACCACATTGCATCTAAATTCTTTTACAATTATGGGGACATTTTGAGGTCCTCTTTTTGTTTTCAGGTTGGCAGACTGGGTCACAAATCTGTCTTGGTCCCTCTTACCTGTACCACATTGGAGTCTGCTTCTGAGAGGGTGTGGCCAGCTCCTTGGGCTTTGACTTTTTTCCCTGCTAGTGGCCTTGACTTTCTTTCATGTCAACTGTGATTCTCTCTAGTGGGTTCCCAGAGGCGAGCATCTCCCCAGCTCTCCTCATTTTACTCAGCATCAGTGAAGTAAGAGCGTGCGCACATTTGGTGTTAAGTGATGTCAATGCCAGTGGCTCTGGGGTGAGGGGGATGAGGGGAGGGGAACGGTGGTTACCCTCAGGGAGTTACAGAGTTTGAGGAAGCATCCTAGACAGATGGAAAGACAGATGGACAGATGTAAGGGTCTAAAATACCTCATTTGGTTGGTTGTCTCTGCTTTCTTTTCTCTATGAGAACAGCTGCTCGGGGGATCTGTTCTCCCTCTGGCCCTTTGAGGAGAGGAACCTGGTCTTGAGTTTCTTTGTAGCCCCTTCTGGCCTGGAACATTGATTGAAATTGATCCAAACCTTAAGATAGCTTTCCCGCCAACCATCTTCTTTCAAACAAAGGATCGTTTATTGTTTACTGACTAGTTATGGAAAGGAAATTTGTGATTTCTGAGACCCAGATCTGAGTCTGTTGCTAGATGGAGCACACGACCTCTCCCCTGCCCCTCCTGGCTATGGATTTTGAAGTATTTTACAGTTTCTGTGGCATGCCATCCTCTCCTCACCCACTGGGTGTCTTTCAAATCCAGAATCTATTTTGTTAACCTCACAACCGTCCAGACTACTCCTTACTTACCAGGATTTTGCAGCCTGAGAGGCCGCTGGGGAGTCAGGAAGCATGTCTGATTCTGTAGGTTCCAGTGTGTAGAGAAGAGGCTAGACGCCAAGAGGAGCGGACTGCTCCCTTCTCCAGATCTTCCTGCCTGGTCTGCCTGGTGTGGGCCATCAGGGCCACCCAGAGAGTGCCATGCACACGCCCATGGCACTGGGCACTGAGCACCCTCCACCCCTCAGCTCTGCAGGCACTCGGGAGTGGGGGGGTGGGGGCTTCTTTCATGTCAGCGCCAGTCTACAGGGTGTGGCATACCCAGATATGTGTAGCTTGCATACACCACCTGAGGATCCCCAGGCTGCAGTGAGAATTTATTCAGCATCAACTCTTAGGAGCAAGAGCCTTAGCTGTTCCTGTTCTGTGGGCAGTCTCTAGGATTTCCACGGCCTGTGAGCCTCTCTCTTTATTGACACCATCTACCCTTAATCTCCCTTCCCACGCTCATCTTCTGCCCTGTTGGGCATTGGGTGTCTGACTGGCAGTAACATACGTGTCAGTCAGTGGCTACTCCTCACAGAAGATGCTTAAGACTTCAGTTGTCCATCTCTCCATCTCTCTAGTGTATTCTTTGCATCTTCTCTCAGGCAATAAGCTAGGCTTAGAGATTTTTTTTAAGACAGATTCTACCCTCCTAGAGCTTGAAGACCAACAAAAGTAACGCTGATTTTCCTAATAATAATGACTGTATTCATTTGGTCTGCCTATTGTGAAACCCTGAGGACATTGGGTTCAGGAGAGGTGAATCGTTTAAGCTGGGCAGATTTAGAGACCTGAGTTTTGTTAAGGAGGAGTGTCCTGGGTGGGTCCTACAGGAAGGGTCTGGGTTGAGTGAAAACTCTGGAAACCTGGCCCATGGTCCTGGGGGATATACAAAAGGTAACAGAGGAGCCAGAGGGGAAAATGCGGGGGCCAGCCTGGGTCTTTCCAGTAGCTGGTACGTTGCATTTTTGCGGGCTTCTCAAAACCTCGTCTGTCTTGATCCTTACAAGGACCTTAGCCAGGCATCCAGAGCTAGGTACAGTGTGGACTATTTTGACAGTTTTAGAGATGAAGAAACATGAGCAGTGTGCCCAGGGTGGCATATCCAATGTGTGCCAGAGCACTCCTCACTTCTGAGAGCCCCCGTGATTTTCTGAATGGCCACCATGACCCATGAAGGGGAAAGATCATGCCCCGCATTCCCCTGAGGCTCCCATGGTTCCCTTTTCACCAGAGGAATTGCCTGCTTTGGCAGAGAGGCTCGACTCACAGTTCAGTCTTGATTGCAGCACGACCACTGCCTGTGGGTGGAGAAGACGGGGCTGGGACAGTGCAATCTGGCCTGTTTGCTTCGTAATCAAGGGCCAGAATCTGATAAGAACAAAGAACCAAAGAAACCAGCCTCAGGAATAAGAGCTCAGAGTAGGTGGGTGTGTGCAGTGTGTGCTCACGTGTGCAGGCTGGTGAGTAATGGGCTGAGAAGGAGCAGCTGCCAGCCTGCCAGGCTCAGGATGGCTGCTGGCCTCCATCAAGGGGGCTCTGCGGGGCCTTCTGGGGTGCCCTCCTCCCTCGGATCACCATGCAGTAAGTGAGATGATTCCTGCCGACTGCCCGAGAGCCTGTCAATAACCATTCTAATCTACCTGGCAGCCCCAGAAGTGAATTTACAGCGACGGGGTAAAAATGAGGCTGCATGATCAATGGGTCCCTGGACGGTCTCCTCCAGGAGACACAAATGTATATTGTAACAAAACTTTATTTTCTTCCGAAAATTGCCTCCGTGATTAATATGGCCTGACACAGCCCAAGCTGTTCAGCATAAAAAACAGCCGTATTTCTTGCTCCCTCTTCAGTGCCACTTTCTGCTCACTCCATCCCTTCGTCTTCTTTCCTTTGTCTCTCTAACACATTGGGCTCTACAATGTGCAATCTCACACAAGAAAGAGAATGTATTGAAATGCGCTAGCTTGCTGTTCCATTCCACTTTGTTTCCATTTGCTATTTCTGATGTAGCTCAGACTCAGCATAAAACCAAATTCCCCAGTGCTCCCCGGACAGAGAGCCACACAGAGCTCCTTCTCTGGGTGTTCAGCCATCTCTTACATCACCTGGGGCCCCAGGGATGAATCCAGCCTGGATGAAAAGATTGTTCCTTCACCCTGTCTTCAGGGCTGGGAGAGTTGCTGGATGTTAGGAGGGAGGACCTCTCAGGCAGGTGGTGCCATCTCCATCCCAGGGAGATTCTGGGGACACTTGCTTGTGAGAAGAGTTGGGGTGTGTCAGGCAGCATGCTCCTACACAGGAAGAGGACCCTCTTCCTTGATTATGATTATTTGCTTGTTGTTTTATATCTTCTCCTAGAATGTAAGCTTTGTGAAAGCAGGGGTCTCCAGTAGATGTTTTAGTTTGGGTTCCCCCAGAAGCAAAGATTTGAGTGCATTGATTTATTTGGGAGATGAAAAGACCATCACTAGGGGAGTGGAGTGGTAGGACTAGGAAGGGAAAGCATCCCCAAGGTGGGCGTTATGCAGATTGCTGCTGTGGGTGCTGGCAGGAGCTTGATCCCACGGGGGCACTCTGGGAGCTGGTATAAAACCTGCCCCTCAGAGTCAACCTGCTCAAGGGCTGAGGGAGCTGGGGTATTGATGCATCACCTCCCGGCTGTCTGTGGATGAGAGCTGATGGGGTCAGGCTGATGGCTTGGGGGCAGCAAAGCAGACTGCAGGCAATGAAATGCAGGTGCCTGGAGTGGGAAGGTGGCAGGTGTGCACTGAGGTAGGACTAGGGGTACGTGTGGGCACGACAAACAGTGATACAATGGATGTGCCCAAGGCTGATGCTTCCGGTTCCTTTAGGGTGGTAAATTTGGAGAAGTGGGGCTGGATCCCTTAACCATCTCCTCCTTAGGTTTTATTCTGAGTTCTTGGCCAAGAGAGGCCAATAGGGAAGCATGCCTTGGAGGATGTGTATGAGGATTCGGCCAAAATCCTTGTGGTGTCCAGTCACGGTGCCTGTGATTTCCGCCTTCTTCTGACTCCACTTTCCCCTGCTCTCTTCCCCTAGGTGTAAGGAGCTGAAATACTCCAAGGAGCTGCCCCAGATATCCATCATATTTATCTTTGTGAACGAGGCCCTGTCGGTGATCCTGCGGTCAGTCCACAGCGCTGTCAACCACACGCCAACACACCTGCTAAAGGAAATCATCTTGGTGGATGACAACAGTGACGAAGGTATGGGGGCAGCTGACCTGCACACATGTTTTGGAGAGGAAGATGCAAGCACATGATGTCGGTGGGGGATGCAGTGGGAATGCCACTTTCATTCCAGCGTGAGCCCAAGTGCCTTTGTCTCCTGGTCCCTGGGGCATATCTGGGGAGGGGAGATGTTTAGGAGAAAGAAATCTAGGCAAACCCTGGTTCATTAGTCCTCGTGTCCTCTAGAGCTCTTAAAAATAAATTACTGGTTATATATCTAATTTCCCCTCTTCATATTAGTAGATAACATCAAAGGGCTGAGTTCCCCTGCGCTCCCTACCCCAACCCCCATCTCCATTGTCCTTTTCCGAGAAGCAAAAGAAAAAGTGAAATTCTGCCCTGTGATGGGAACTGTTCATCTTACATCAGAATTCTCCCCTGGGCCTCTATGCCCAAAATGACTGTAGGCAGAAATGAGCAGTGTTTGCAGGTCTTTGGGAGTTCAGCTCTGATAGGAATGAAGGCTCAATTAAAATATAAAACAAGCAAATATTGGATGACAATAACAAAAATCCTTTGAGGTCTCTGGACACGAAGGCCTGGTGTCAAGGTGAGGGTGGGGATTGGTTTCACTAATTGTGCCTTTGTGTTGGCTCATCGCCTGCAAAATTCAGTGCTCACTGCAGCGAGGAACCCACACAAGTGGATGACGTGAAGAAAAGCCAGCCAGTGTGCATGCTTAAGGCCAAGGAGGCTTATCTGCTGAGCAACTGAAGGATTAGGGGCAAGCCGAACCCCTTGCTCTCAGCGTGCTGCGTGGAGAAGGATTACCCTGTGTGTGCTCCGGGCCAGGAGAGGGCGAGGAGGAGGCAGGACACCACATGGCCTGCTTGAAACCTGATTATCTTCAGGAGCACCAGGATGATCCTATGATGTTTCATTGGCCCAGGAGCTGAGGTCCCCCTGCCCCTTCTGAACCAGCCAAGTGAAGGGCTGGAGTGTGCCCAGGCCTAGCAATATGCCCATCAAGGCACTGCCATCTCCGAGGCCTCCAGATTTTGAGGACTAATAGGTCATCTGCTGGATTTTTAACATCCCTATTTTTCTCCCCTTACCTCTGGCCATTTCGTTATCTATAGATTCTTCTAAAACTGACATGGATAGTCTTCCTGTAAGAAGGTTCTTCCTTTTCCCTGAAGCCTCTAAGTCATCCCGCAAAGTCTCTCCCTGGTGTGGCTCCCAGTGCCCCTCTCTGCAGCCTCTCCGTGTGCCCACCACAGTCCTCTTGCTTCGACAGGGCCTCCATGCCCTCTGCAGGCAATCCCTGCCCCCATGCTCCCCTCCATTTGCTGGCTAAGTCCCACTCGTTCCCCAAGTGTCCCTTGCATGTCACTTCCTTGGAGAATCCTTTGCCGACATCCTAAGGCATTGCTCTGTGCTGCCTCAGCACCCCATGTACCCTAAGGTAGCAAGTGACATCACCATGTCTTACACATCTGGACTTCCAGTGCTGGGCAGGACGCTGTTTCATAGGGCTGGCTGGCAGCCAGCCCTCAGTGAGTCTCACCCAGCAAGGGAGTGAGCAATGAAGCTGGATAGGCCATGAAAAGGCAGGTAGGCGCCGGCAGCCTAGTGGCCCGAGGTGGTGCAAAGAAGAGCCAGCAAATCCAGAGAGAAGAGCAGACTGTAGATGCTACACTGAATTGGGGTGAGGACTCACTGCCGGTCGGGCTCCCTTCCCCAAGGAAATCTCACCAGAGCCCAACCAGAGAGGAAGGAATGGGAGGCCAAGCCAGTCTCAACCAGAACACAAGCTCTGTGAGAGCAGAGGTCTTCAGTAGATGTCTTAGTTTGGGTTCTCCCAGAAATAGATCCTGAAGCAAAGATTTGAGTGCATGAGTTTATTTGGGAGATAAAAAGAGCATCACTATGGGGCTTGGGAGTAGGACTGGGAAAGGAAGGCATCCCCATAAGGGGGTGTTATGCAGGTTGCTGCTGTGGGCGGCAGGAGGGGCTTGATCCCACCTGGGGACTCTGGGAGCCTCTGTAAAACCTGCACCTCAGAGTCAACCTGCTCAAGGGGGAGGGAGCTGGAGTATTTATACACCTTTATACACCAAAAGCATCAGATGCTTTTGCGTCAGAACCTCCTGGAGCCCCACCCCAAATTCTGCTTCTGGAGGTCTGATGGGGTTGAGAATTTCCATTTCTTACAAGCTCCCAAGTGATGCTGATGCTGCTGGCGCAGGGACCACACCCTGAGAACCACTGGGTTAAGTGCCGTTGCAATGGCTCACTCTTCACGTCTAAATGAAGATGTTTAGTGCATGACAGAAAGGGGAGAAGAGGTGTTTGCTTCAATCTGACCGTAAAGTGAATTCCTGTTCATCCTCCCCTGTCCTCAAATACCGAGGGGGCCAGGAGAGACTGTATTGACAGGCACCCTCTTTTTGTTCCCGGCTCCAGCCTCTGTATTTTCTCCAGGCCAGAAGTGCTTTCTTTATAACTGGAAGAGAAATTTCACATTTTTTCTTTGTTGAGATTTCCTTTGTGACTAATATTATCGAGTTTTGTAAATGTTCTGTACACACTTGAAAAGACCCCCACACACTGTAATCATGGAATTGAATCCCTGCCAGACATCAATTTTGTGTATTTAGGTAGACTATGAGTTTATTTTCTTAACTCTTGTTGATAATGGTGTTTTAAAGTCTCCTCCTACAACTACTATTTCTTCCCGTGTTCCTAATAATGTTTGCTTTCTGTATCTTGTTGTCAGTTTCTTTGGTAACTATAGATTTGTATCTGCATGACTTCAGTTTTAGTGGCGGTTGTTATCATTATGCAATGCTCCTTTTATCTTAAAAGCATATTTTTTTTCTTGCCTTGAATTTAGTGCGTCTAACATTAATATTGTTATCCCTGCTTACCTTCTGTTTGCCTTTGATTAAAACATTTTTTCTAGCCTTACCATTTTTTCTGATTTTAAAATTAATACATGCTCTTTGTAGGAAAATTTGAATATATCAAAAAGCACATATAATCAGAAAAAACAAATACTGAAGAGACTAACCAGGAATAACTGCTCATTCGCCAAGGTTCTTATCCTCTTTTTAATGCACATTTTACATAGTTAAGATCCTATAATAAAAACAAGTTAATGTTCTGCTTTTCCCCCCCCGAACCGTGAAGCATAACAATTTCCTTTTTATTAAAAAAGCTCTGCAGGAGCCAGCCCAGTGACTCAGCGGTTAAGTTCGCACACTCTGCTTCGGCTGGCCAGGGTTTGCCAGTTTGGATCCTGGGTGTGGACCTACACACTGCTTGCTAAGCCATGCTGTGGTAGGCGTCCCACATGTAAAGCAGAGGAAGATGGGCATGGATGTTAGCTCAGGGCTAATCTTCCTCAAAAAAAAGAAAACTAAAAATGGAAAAAAATGCTCTGCAAGCATCATTTTAATGAGGGTAGAATGGTTCATTCTCAGGCTGGTCAAGACTGGCTCTGGTAGGAACTATATCCCCCCACTTTGAGATGTTATCACGTACGTGAAAGAAGAAAGAGGGTTTTTCAGGGGAAAAAAAGACTGGCTTAGGGAATTTGTGAATGAAGCAAGTGACTGGATCTGTGTGCAAGTCAAGGTCTTTCTTTGGTAGTTTTTTTTGGTAAGTAATTTGTTTCATTCAGCTTGAATATTATATTGTTCTAAGTTAAGCCCAAGTAAGCCGCACTTCTTTGTACTCTAGTACATTAAACTGAAATCACTCAGGCAAAACTTGCCAGTAATCAGTGCTTGCCAAATCCAGCGGGCACTGTCCTGCTCTGATCTGGCCACATCTGGCATTGTTGGTGACTTCCTTCCTGGCATTTTTCTCCTCCTGAGGCTCTGGCACCACTCTCTTCTGATTCTCCTCTCACCTTCCTCCTCCCTGGCTCCCTGCTTCCATGCGGATCACTCATTCGGATGATGAGTGTCCTCACTATCAGGACACACTGGGCGGTCTCCTCCGCTGTACGTAATCTGATCATCCCAAATCCATCCTTCCAGCCCAGACAGCTCAGTCTCTCTCCTCAGCTCCAAACCTGTGTCCTCCGGCTCCTAGATGGCCACCCAGGGTCCCTCGGAAACTGTAAGCTCAGTTGGTCCAATGACTGACTTACCCTTTTCCTCTTGGCCTCGGAGACCTGCTTCTCGTTCTTTATTTCCTGTCTCAGTGAAGAGCTTCACCTTCTACTCAGTTAGCTCGCCATCAAAAGACTGGACATCTTTTCACACTCTTCCTCCTCCCTTTCCCACCAGCGTCCACTTGGTTACTCTTGAGTGTGATTCTGAGCTCTTTGTCTTTCTGTTCAGCCGCTCAGCATTTTTTGCCTTGATCTTTGTTTGAGGGGTCGAGAATGGGAGAATTCAGTTGCATAGAATTATATTGATCGTAATTTTTTATGCACCTCATCATTGGCCCATGCATGGTCATCCTTTATTTATCTTTCCTTATTTTTAATTGAGACATTATTCACATAACATAAATTTCATCGTTATAACATGTATACAATTCAGTGGCTTTCAGTATATTCACAATGTTTTGCAATTATCACCACTATCAAATTCCAGAATATTTCCATCATCCCGCAAAGAAATCCTGAACCTGTTATCGGTCTCTTCCAATTCCTTGGGCAACCACTTAAGGTGCTTTATGTCTCTATGAATTTGCCTATTCTGGACATTTGATACAAATGACACTTACAATTTGTGGCCTTTCGTATCTGGCTTCTTTCACTTAATGTTTTCTAGTTTCATCCATGTTGTAGCATATATCAGTACTTCATTCCTTTTTATGGCTACATAATATTCTGTTATATGCATACAGCACAGTCTATCTATCCATTCATCAGTTGGTGGATATTTGGGTTGTTTCCACCTTTTGGCTATTAGGGGTAATACTGCTATGAATATTCATGTACAAGTTTTTGTATGGATATGTTTTCAGTTTTCTTGGGCATATACCTGGGCATGAAATTGCTGGGTCACTTGATAATT